ATGTTTGCAAGGTTCACCCGTGCTGTTGCACCCACCAGTACTCTTTTCATTGTTATTGCCAAAGAATATGCCATTGTATACATTCACCACATTTTATGTATCTGTTCATCAGTTGATGGCATTTGGATTATTTCCACTTTTGGGCTATTATGAATAATGCTGCCATGAACATTCATACAAGTTTCTATGTGGAGATATATTATTTATCTTGAGTGTACTAGGAGTGGAATTGCTGGCTCATATGGCAATGCTATGATTAACCATTTGAGGAACTGTCAAACTGTTTTTTAAAGCAACTGCACCATTTTTCATTCCCATCAATAATGTGTGAGTATTCCAATTTCTCCACATCATTGCTAACACTCATCCATCTTTTTGATGATAGCCATCCTTGTGGATGTGAAGTGGTATGTCATGGTTTTGATTTACATTTATCTAATGACTAATGATGTTAAGTATTTTTTCATGTGCTTTTTGACCACTTATATATCATAGGAGAAATGTTTATTTGGGTATTTTGTCCATTTTTAAATTGGGTTATTTTTCTTTACATTATTTAGTTGCAGGAGTTCTTCATATATTCTGGATACAGCATAAGTCCTTTATCAGATAAATAATTTGCAAATATTTCCTATCTTTCTGTGGGTTGTTCTTCACATTTGTATAGTATCATTTGAAGCACAAAAGTTTATAGTTTTGATATAGTCCAGTTGGTTTTTTATTTTGTTGCTTGAGCTTTTGTTCTTATATCCGAAAAATCATTGCCCAACCCAAGGTCATGAAGATTTACTTCTATGTTTTCTTCTAAGAGGCTCAGAGTTTTAGCTCTTATATTTAAGTCTATGATCCATTTTGACTTAATCATTAACATGATTAACATCATTCTTTTGTATATGGATATCCAGTTGTCCCAGCATCATTTGCTGAAAAGACTATTCTCTCCTCCATTGAATGGTCTTGGCACCATAATAAACAATCAGTTGACCATAGATATGAAGGTTTAGGTCTGGACTCTCAATTCTATTCCCTTGATCTATGTGTCTACACTTATGCCAGTATCACATGTCTTGGTTAGTGTAGATTTATAGTAAGTTTTGTCATCAGGAGGCTATTCGGGACCCCTTGTAATCCTATATGAGTCTGAGTATCTTCTTTTCCATTTCTGAAAAGAACTCAGCTGGGATTTTGATAGGACTTGTATTGAATATGTAGATCCATTTAGGGAGTAGTGCCATCTTAGCAAGGATATCTTCCAATCCATGACATGGGATGTCTTTCCGTTTATTTATTTATTTAAATTAAAAAGTTTTTTTCATTAGATATCACTTATATGAGGAATCCAAAAAAAATGATACAAATGAACCTCTTTACAAAACAGAAATAGACCCACAGGCATAGAAAACAAACTCATGGTTACCAAAGAGAAAAGGATGTGGTGGGTGCGAAGGGGGGGGATAAATTAGGAGTTTGGGATTAGCAGATACAAACTACTATATATAAAATAGGTAAACAGCAAACTACTCTATATAAAATAGATAAACAACAAGGACCTACTGCATGGCACAGGGAAATATATGCAATATCTTGTAATGACCTATAATGGAAAAGAATCTGAAGAAAGAATATATATATATACACATATACATATAACTGAATCACTTTGCTGTATACCTGAAGCTAATACAACATTGTAAATCAACTATAATCACTTATTTGGTTTGAAAAAACACCACTATAAGCATTTGTGGAAAAATTTTTGTGGGGGCATATGCACTCTTTTTGGGTGAATACCTAGGAATACAATGGCTGCGTCATATCGTAAGTGTATGTTTAGCTTCTTTTTTTTTTGAATTTTATTTCATTTATTTATTTTATACAGCAGGTTCTTATTAGTTATCTATTTTACACATATTAGTGTATATATGTCAATCCCAATCTCCCAATTCATCCCACCGCTCGTCTTTCCATTTATTTAGAAGTCTTCTTTAATTTCTTTAATAAAGTTTTGTAGGTTTAAGTTACTTTTCACTTGTTTTGTTAATTTTATACCTAGATATTTTATTCTTTTATGCTATTGTAAAAGTAATTGCTTTTTTATTCTATATTCAAGTTGTTTATTGATATTGTATAGAAATACAATTAATTTTTTTTTGTATATTGATCTTGAATCTTGCAACCTCGATGAACTTATTAGTTCTAATAGTTTTTTAGTAGATTCTTTAGGATTTTCTACATACAAGATTATCTCATTTGCAAATTAAGATAGTTACTACTTCCTTTCCAGTCTGGGTGCCTCCCCCTTTTCTTGACTAATTATCCTGGCTAGAACCTCCAGTACAATGATGAATAGTAGTGGTTAGAGTGGACACGCCTGTCTTGGTCTTGATCTCAGAAGGAAAGCCTTCTTTCTGTCTTTCAACATTAAGTATGATATTAGCTGTGGGATTTTCATAGATGACCTTTATCAGATTGAAGACGTTCTCTACTATTCCTAGTTCACTGAGCGTTTACTATGATAGGGTGTAAAATTTTTGTCAAATGCTTTTCACACGGATTTTGTTTTTGTTCAGCTAATATTGTGTATTACATTTCCTAGTTTATGTCCTTTTTATATGTTGTTGGATACAGATTACTAGTGTTTTGCTGAGGATTTTTGTGTCTGTATTCATAAGAGATACTGATCTGTAGTCTTTCTTTTTCTTGTGATGTCTCTGTCTTGTTTTGATATCAGTGTAATACTGTCCTTATAGAATAGTTAGAAATTGTTTCCTCCTCTTCTACTTTTTAAAAAAGTTTGTGAAGAATTGGTTTTAATTTTTCTTTGAATATTTGGTAGAATTAACCAGTGAAGCTATCTGCGTCTGGACTTTCCTTTGTGGAAATATTTTTAGTTACCAATTTGATATCTTGTTACATATTCAAACTTTCTATGTCTACTTGAGTCAGGTTCGTAATTTGTGTCTTTCTAGTAATTTGTCCCTTTCATCTATTTTATCTAATGTATTGACATACAGTTGTTCATCATATTCCCTTTTAGTCCTTTTTATTTCTTAAAGTTGGTAGTGACGTCCCTTCTTTCATTCCTGAGTTTAACAATTTGTCTTCTCTTCACTCCACCCCTCCCTTGTTTTTTCTTGGTTAGCCTAGTTAAAGCTTGTTAATTTTGTTGATCTTTTCAAAGAACCAAATTTTGGTTACTTTGATTTCCTCTATTTTTTGCTATTCTCTATTTCATGTATCCCTGCTATACGTTTCTCTCTGAGCAGCTGCATCATATAAGTTTTTGTATGTTGTGTTTTTATTTTCATTCATCTCAAAGTATTTTCTACTTTCTTTATGACTTCTTTGACACATTGGTTATTTAGTCATGTAATGTTTAATATCTACATATTTGTGAATTTCTCAAATTTTCTTCGGTTACTGAATTCTAATTACATTGTGGTTTGAAAACATTTTGTATGATTTCAATCCTTTGAAATTTATTAAGACTTGTTTTATGGCCTAACATATGATTTATCTGGAAGAATGTTCCATATGAACTTTGGAAGAATGCCTCTTCTATTGTTGTTGGGTAGAATGTTCTAGTGATGTCTGTTAGGCTTAGTTGGTTTATAGTGTTGTTCGAATCTTCTGTTTTCTTGTGCATCTTCTGTCTAGTTTTTCTATTCATTATTGAAAATATGGTATTGAAATGTCTACCTTTATTGTTGAATTGTTTATTCTTCCCTTCAATTCTGTCAGTTTTTGCTTTATGTATTTTGAGGTGCTGTTGTTAGATGTATATATGGTCATGATTTTTATATCTTTCTGACAGATTGATCCTTTATCATTATGGAACTCCCTCTTTACCTCTAGTAACTTTCTTTTGTTTTAAAGTTTGTTTCTTTAGACATAGGCATAGCAACTCCAGTTCTCTTTTGTTTATTCTTTGCATGGCATATCTTTTTTGATCTTTTACTTTCAGTCTATTTGTTTATAGTGGACAGTTCTTTTTTTATGATTTTGATATCTTTAAACTTTATTTTTTAAATGATCATATAATACAATTCACTTTTTTCTTTTGATGTACATTTCTATGAATTTTAACACATGTAGTGATGTGTAACCATTCCCATAATAGGATAGAAAATAACTTCGTCACCCCCCCAAAACTCCCTTGTGGCGTTTCTTTATAGTCATACCCTTCCTGCAAACCCAGTTCCTAGCATACAATGATATTCTTCCTACTTTTTTCCTCTTTCTTTTTTTTCTTCTGAGGCTTTGTATTGAGTTATGTAACCACATTAGCATGAAGAGTTATGGGCAGATGAGGGTCATTTTCTGGGCTACAATGTTGATTAGAGTCATGTAAAATGTAGAAGATTTAGAAGAGTGAGACTGAAACTAAGATAAAGCTGAAACTTGAGGCTCACTTAAGAGCTGGTATTTTCCACTAAAACTGGGGACACTACTAAGCATTGCTATATTACCTGCTCTGCATAATAGCCCAGAAATTCAAGGTCTTTGGTGACAGCTGAGCAGCAACGATGAAATTGTAAATGCCTGAGTACGCTTGGTGTCCTGCCTCATCCTCTCCCTCCCCTATTGGCTCTGGAAAGCAATCAGAGTGTAACAATAGGAGTTCTGGAATGTTCCCGAGTGGGGCTTATCTTTGTATCATTGTTAATCCTTGTCCTCTCTTTTCAGAGACAAGAGATTAAGTTAAAACAGGACAGACATCTTTTCTGGGACTCAGGGCTGAGCTGCGTTTCCTTCTTTGCAAATTCAAAGGATTTTACAGGATTTTCCCCTTCTTAATCCTCCCTCCCCCTCCATCCTGCCCTTCACACCTTCCCATCATTAGGGAAAGGCAGGAAGTTTTCCCTGTGGTTTCTTCTTTGTGACGACATGATGGGGCAGGTTAGTCAATGGGGAAAACCCCATGTGAGAACACGCCTTCTATGTGCATTCAAATATTTACTATAAGTAGGGCCATCCCAGACCCAGGCTGCTATCAAGCATAACAGCTCTCCCAGGCACTAGGTACCCAGCACTGAGACATCTATTCTTTGAGCTGAAAATGATGTGCAGTAGCAAGAGTTTGCTCCTGGCTGCTTTGATGTCACTGCTGCTACTCCACCTCTGCAGCAAGTCAGAAGGTAAGTGTCACTCTTTCTGCTAGCACAGGATGAAGAACTATTTTCATTTTTCTCTAAGCCTTGAGCTCATTTAGGGGTCCCCAAGGGTTGGAAGCCTGTTAGAAAATCTTCAAAAGGAAGTGATGGGGGTTGTCATCTCATTGGTGAGTGGAAGAGGGAAAGGTTACTGCTGCCTATCAGGATTTTTTCTCTGCTGTCAATCCCAGCAAATTTGGGGGGCGGTGGTGGTGGGCTCTTAGAGACCCTCGAACTCCAGAACAACCCAAAGTGCTATTCTGGTAGAGATGTAAATTGTGTAACATTACCAGTGAATGGGGCCATTTTGAAATGTAGAAAATTCTCCCATTTCCCTAGCTTTCTCATTTCCCAACTGAATAGTTTTAGCAGAGTTCAAAACTCATCCTTTAGGGGCAGATTATGGCACCTGAATTCATCCTTGCAAGGCCTTGGGGACATCACTTGCCAACTTCGGGATTACATTTATCACTTACAGCAGGTCAAAGATACAGTAGGTTGTAATTTAACTCAGGGGAGTGCCCAAGAATTGCTTTATTACTAAGAGGACATCACTTTTAGCAACAGGTGCATTCCTGAAAATACACGTGTTGAAATTTTATGAACAAAATTAAAAATTCCCATTAACTAATACTACAATTTCAAAGTGTTTTAATTGTAGCTCTTATTAACAGCTCCTATAAATCACATTTTTCTTTGTAACTTCTTGTCCTTCCCCTCCTCTCAATATTCAGTAGCCAGATAATAGATTAAAACTTGCCAATTTACTTTTTTTTCTGAATTTAGAAGGTTATTTATAAGGGTTTCTTCAAGTGGAAGGTACTCATATTCTTGAGTGACTATAGTGAATGAAATAAAATACTGTCAGTTTGTGTTTCTTACTAAAGATATTCCTTTTATGAGACTGATGTCTCATGTGCTTCTAAACTGTATAATTGAACCAAAATTTCCCAGTACACAAACTATTTTTTTTAAGAGAACTGGAAACTATGTTAAAATGGGTCTCAAAGATATTGGAGGTGTTCCTCTAAATAGTTTATTTACCATATAAATCAGATTCTAGGTTTTCCACAACTTCAGGTAGTTCCACGATACCTATCACAGAATAAGTTCATTCATGTGGACTCAATATCTTTCATTTCTTTTCAGCAGCAAGCAACTTTGACTGCTGCCTCCAATATACAGAAAAAATCCTTCATCCCAAATTTATCGTGGGGTTCACACAGCAGCTGGCCAATGAAGCTTGTGACATCAATGCAGTCATGTAAGTTATTAAGGGATTCTAATTCATTTGTATTAGGAGTACATGAGAATTTCAAGTAGAAAAAGCTTTGCCTTTTTGGAGTTTCATTCAGAAATAACTCATGTGGCAAAAAGCTAGCTGTGTTTTAGTAGTACATTTATTCTTCAAAATTCACTTTAAATGGAACTGGAATAAGGCAAAACTTAGTTTAAAAAAAATGAACATAGTTGAGGGCAAAATCACTTTTGAAGATAAACTTATAAGCTACTAAGATACTATCTCAGGAAAATATGAAAAACCTAAACTTTGAAATGAGCATTTTCTACCAGAAAGTGGTTGAGCTATAAGCTAAAGCTCAGAGTAGTTACACTATCTCATATAATATTCTTTTGTGTTTTTTGCGGTACGCGGGCCTCTCACTGTTGCGGCCTCTCCCGTTGCGGAGCACAGGCTCCGGACGCGCAGGCTCAGCGGCCATGGCTCACGGGCCCAGCCGCTCCACGGCATGTGGGATCTTCCCGGACGAGGGCACGAACCCGTGTCCCCTGCATTAGCAGGCGGACTCTCAACCACTGCGCCACCAGGGAAGCCCCTCATATAATATTCTTGATTTATATAGGGTATTATATTTTCAGTGAAATAAGTTATTGATCAGATGTATACATATTTCATGTAGCCACCACCAACAAAATTAAATAATTCTGGGACTTGATCTTCCTGTTACTGCACAACTTTTTGTTAGATTGCAGAGAAAGTCAGGGAGAATCACTTTTATTTCTTGCATCAAACTTTCTAAGAAGAATTTTTTTTTTTGCAATTTTTTTCACCTCTGAAACAAATAGAATGTTTAGGGCGTAGAGCCACCAATTGGAATATGAAATTTCCACTGCATGTCCTGTGGAAAAAAAGAAAAAAAAACATTTAAACAATAAATGAAATTGAAACATAAATCAAATTCTCTGACTTTTTTCAGCTTATACACAAAGAGAAGATTAGCTGTGTGTGCAGATCCAAAGAAGAGTTGGGTGAAACATGTAGTGCATATCCTCAGGTATGGAACGTTTATAATCCACCAGCCTCTCTCCAAATGTTTGGGAAAGAGTGGTGTTCAGAGTGTTGCATCACAGGCTTGCTGGAATGCTTTAGCCTAAGCACTATGACGTTTTTAAAGGGTAGTGTGAATCGGACAATGAAAACAAAAAATTCATTTTTTCAACCACTTACAGATCATTTTCATTTTTTTATTATACATTTATTTATTTGTGGCTGCGTTAGGTCTTTGTTGCTGCGCACAGGCTTTCTCTAATTGTGGTGAGCTGGGGCTACTCTTCACTGTGGTATGCGGGTTTCTCGTTGCGGTGGCTTTTCTTTTTGCAGAGCACGGGCTTTAGGGTGCAGGCTCAGTAGTTGCGGCACACGGGCTTGGTTGCTCCGCGGCATGTGGGATCTTCCTGGACCAGGGCTCGAACCCGTGTCCCCTGCATTGGCAGGTGGATTCTTAACCACTGCGCCACCAGGGAAGCCCCATTTTTATTTTAATTGTTTTTAATTTAATGATTTTTCACACGATGTATGAGATTCCTCTATGCATTTGATTCTTGTTGCAAAGATGCCTCTTATTTATATAATTTAAAGACTACATGACATTCGTTTGTTAAAAGCTAAAAAATAAACAGTTAAAAAGAGATCAATGGCTCTGATTTACACTGATGATAATGGAGTGACATTTTATCAATGGACAGAATCATCTCACACCAGGGTGCCAGATACTGAATATGAAGACACAACCTTAGTGTTCATATCCTGTTTCTGTCCTTAGCTAGCTGGGTTATGTTGGGCAGGGTCCATCCTCTCTGAACCCTGATTTCCTCATATGGCCTCTGAGCTGCCTGGTATCCTGAGATGAGATTGGAGTGTCTGAGGCAATCTGTAGGCACCAAAGATATTCCCACACACCAGGCACCCCATCTTTGCTTATTTTTTTCTTCTTTTTCTCTTTATAGTCAAAGAGTCAAGAAGATGTAAAAACGGATACTCCCTGGACTGGAACTGGACACAGCCCAAGAACAAAAGGAACCTAGCTGAGCTGGCAGTTTCACTCACACACTGTTGCAGGTTCAGAGCTTATCTGATTTGTGTCTCATTGGACTTGTCCAATTAGTGAAGTTGATTCATATTGCATCACAGTTTGCTTTGTTAAGCATCACATTATACTCTATTTTATGTTATGTTATTTATATATGTGGTTTTGTTTGTGTTTTGCTATTTAATACTAGTTTTCTATAAGCTATCTGGTTTAGTATGTGGTATAAAGTTATACTTGGAGGAATAAGATATATGGACTTTCTTGCAAGCAGAAGGCTATTAAAAAAAACACTTAACATTCTTCTCTTTATATAGTTCTGTTTCCTAAATTGTTGTAATTACCTTGTTAAAGAGGAAAATGATAAGAAGAATAAATATTGAACATAAAAGAACCAAAATTTGTTTGTGGATTGAGTTAAATAGCATTTATTAAGAGGTGTATTAAGAATAGTTAAGAGTTTAGTAAATACGAAAATGTTGTGAAAATTGTATTCCCCATTTACTTCTTCCTGGTTTTTCCCTTTATCTCTACCCCTTGTGATCCTGGACTTCATTCTATATGAATTATAATGGAAAGGTTTTTTTGAATTAAAAAAAATTCAAAGTCATTTAAACCAAAAATTAGAAAGATTCTATCTGTGACATAGGTCAATATTTCTTGATATAAAACTTTTCAAAATAAAAAAAGTATGCCCATCTATTTTGTGACTCCAGGGACACAACAACTATTTAGAAAATTCCTTGAGCAATCACTTAGTCCGTCATTCTGTCACCAGCCATGGTCCTAGGAATGGGCATCTCAGCAGAGGAACATTTCTCTATTTTATAAGTCCTCCTGAGTCATCTTTAAGCACTTTCCAAAAACAAAATGATTATGCAGAGGGTTTATTTTTTAAAATTTATTTATTTTATTTTTGGCTGCGTTGGGTCTTCATTGCTGCACACGGGCTTTCTCTAGTTGTGGTGAGCGGTGGCTACTCTTCATTGCGGTGCGCGGGCTTCTCATTGCGGTGGCTCTTGTTGCGGAGCACAGGCTCTAGGCACTCTGCTTCAGTAGTTGTGGCACGTGGGCTCGGTAGTTGCAGCTCATGGGCTCTAGAGCGCAGGCTCAGTAGTTGTGGTGCACAAGCTTAGTTGCTCCGTGGCATGTGGGATCTTCCCAGACCAGGGCTAGATCCCGTGTCCCCTGCATTGGCAGGATTCTTAACCACTGCACCACCAGGGAAGTCCTATGCAGAGGGTTTTTAGAAACCGATTGCCTCAGTAACCAGAAGAGAGACAACAAATGTGTGAAACCTAGCAAGAACCCAGAAATAAGATGAAAAGACCCTGTACCAGGGTAGTTCTTGTCACAATAGTCATGTACTTAAGTTCACAGAGTGCCCGACACAGCACTCTGGACAGTCTGCTTCAGATTCCAAAAGCCACGCAGGATGAGTGGAGGAAGACACACTGATGATAGGATTTAAAATCCAGACACGCACATCCATAATGCGGGCAATAGTGGGTCATTTGGTGTAGCAAACGCTCAGTAGGCTCTGAAGGCATCTCTGTGCTCATAAGTAACAACACTGAGCCGTCAGGGAAAGTATGCTCAATATCCTGTTTGACTATTCATCAAACATGAGTTAGCACCTATTATGAGCCAGGCACCGAGCCAAGTGAAGCTGGAGACGCCAAGAAATTAAGTTAGCACTTGGTGCTCACTCCCAGGTAATTAGTGCTGAGCAGTGTGGGAAGAGAGAGGGGCTGGCTAGAAAATCAGCTATGACAACACAGCGTGGTAAGCACTTGGATAAAGGAAGGCATGGGACAGGGCATTAGTAGTGAGGGTTTCCAGAAGAAAAGAATATTCAGTTGAACCTTATTAAATAGCCGATATTCGATGCTCTTGAACTATGAAGATGGCAATTGTGTATGGTTCAGCCCTTGTTTGAGTCGAGGTATGAAGGGCCAGTAGGAGACACCCAATTGGAAAAGGAGCAGCAGGGGGTGTTTGGAAATATCTGGGGGCATATTTTAGTTGTCACAATGTCTAAAGGTGGGATACTAAGGTATTCAGTGGGCAGGAGACAGGGATGCTAAACCCACTGGAATGCACAAGATAGCCTGGCACAATGAAGAATTTTCTTACCTAGGTATCAATTATGCCACCAGTTGGGTAACACTGGATGAAGCGGGATGTATGCAAGGAGTGGCTGTAGGATGGAGCAGCTGCGGATTAAGTAAAACTGTTACCTCAACTAAGCATAGTGGTTTGAACTTGAACATGGAAACACGGGGGAACCATGGAAGAAGTCAAAGCAGGAGGAAAGGGAGGTGGGATGGAAGATGGATGCAGAGATACAGAGAGAGCTGCAATGAGTAAGGTGAGAAACGGTGGGACCTCAGTTAAGGCCATGGCAAAAAGAAAGGAAGCAGAGATGGGCTTGGAATTGTTGAGACTCATTCTAGATAACCCTCCCTCTGCCACCCCTCCCCACCACCAACAGTCACCCTTTCCTGGAGCAGCACAGCCAGAGAGGACACTGTCAAGGGCAGTGGCCCATTTGGCCGACTGCTGCTGGGTGGTCTCACCAGGTGAGCTTTGCTGAGTCAGGAAAGTAGCACATTTTGTTAGTGCTCTGAATGTGTGTGAATTATTTGGGACTAGGAGTCCTAACACCTATTAGCTGAGTTTCTGGAGCCAATTTATTAATCGCAATGAGAACATTCCACTGTCAAGTGCATGGGTAAAAGCACCTGTGCAAATCAGTGTGTTACCCCCAAGAGTCCAAATTGGAATCACAAAGCCAGATTGTTAAGCCTGGGATCAGAGCACAGCACAGAGTCTCAGCCGTACAACTGCAAGTTTAATTCATTAGTCTCACTGCAATAACCATGTTCAAGGATTAGAGAAGTTGCTCCCAATTCGCAGCTCTTCTTTTTCTTTTTTTCATGTTGGAAAAGGTATTTTCTACTTAATTTTTTAATTAAGGTATAAAGTAAAAGGTATACAGTATACAGTATACAGTAAAATGCACAAGTCTGTAAGTGTACAGCTTAGCTGAATTTTTGCATATGTACACGCCTGTGTGATGACTCTGGGCCATTCAAGATTACCCAGATGGCTCCCTCATGCCCCCGTACATCCATCCAGCCCCAGAGTAACAGCTTCAACCAACCAATGGCCATCTGGTTACATATATTCTGCCCAACTTCTCCCCACTTATATACCCTGACTTACTTTGAAGGAATTCCCCAATATCAAATTATTATATATGAATATAAATATATATTTACACATGCATACACATATTTATATGTATTTTTTTAACAGGGACTTTTAAAAAGACACAAACAATCTCATTATCACAGATTTAAAGATCAACACTAATTCCCCAATATCACCAAATATTCAGTCAATGTTCTGATTTCCCTGTTTGTTTCAAAAAAGGGTTGTATTTATTTATTTATTACAGTTGATATGTTTGAATGAAGCTCCACATAAGGTCCACACACTGCATTTGTGTGATTTGTTTCTTTTTAAGTTTAATCTATGTTTCTTATCATTACCATCCTTCTCTTTTTCCTTGGTCCACACACTGCATTTGTGTGATTTGTTTCTTTTTAAGTTTAATCTATGTTTCTTATCATTACCATCCTTCTCTTTTTCCTTTGTGATTTATGTTTTGGAGAAACCAGGAAACTTTTTCTGAGTTCCCACCTTCTGGGTTTTGGTGGTTGCATTCCCGTGGTGTTACTTAGTTTGTTCCCTGACTCCTAGTTGTAAATAGAGGCTGGGTTGGGGAATGGGACCAGACCACTTTATAAGTGGCATTGCGCCGCATGGTTATAAAGTTGCCTAAACTGAGGTTAGCCAGAGGAGTGAAAGAGGATGTAGTGAACTTGGGCCAAATTTTTCAAGGCAAGTAAAGAACTGATCAAGACCTTCAACTGACAGCCAGAAAGAGGAGAAGTAGATGGTCTAATGACACACGTGTACTTCAAAGAATGGGGAGGTGTATAGAAATGAAGAAGTGCTATCATGGAAGCACAAGAATGTTGGTTTCTACCTGCTTCTGGCTCTGTGGACATCTTCAGAGAACCATAAGGGGAGTGCTGTTGCCATAGACTCAAGTTTCAACCAAGACAAGGAGATAGGGGAGCAAAAGCTGGAAGGACAGGAAAGAATTGTTAGGAAAGGCCAGAGCTGGACATCATGGAAATGGGTTGGAGGTATACAGCAGTATTCAGATGAAAGCATGAGAAATATGAGAAAGGACAGATGCATGCAAGTGTTTGGGTTTGGGTGGTAATCACGTCGTTAATAAAACCTAGACTAGTAAGCAGCAAGTGATATGCTAATATCGCTTGTAAGTTCATTAATGTACTATCTCATTTAAACATGAGGTAGGTACTATTTTTATGCCCATTTTGGGGACAGAGAAACTGAGGGTCAAGGAAGCTAAGGAATTTACCTAAGGTCACACAGTCTTTAGAGATATGATGGAATTAGTTGGTATCAAGTTTCTGACCAGGCGACTGGTATAAAGGTGTTTCTGTGTCAGTAAGGCAGCCCTGTGGTGTCTAATGTTCCTTGACGTTGATTCTCTTGTTGGTTCTTTGTCATCTTTATAATCATCTGTATGCTCTGGTATTTTAGATGGTATCAAAGTGTTAGAACAGAGAACATTTTAGACTTTCTTACTTTGGTATCAAAAAGACTTAAAAAGTTTGCCTTGTCAAGGAGTAAGTTCCAGTTGTGATTTGGTTACCTTCTTCCCCAGCAGTGCTACGCACGTATCACAGGTTTTTCCTTCTGGTTAAATAATGGTTTATTGAGTGAAAGCTATGTTCTCCACCCATTCATTCCTTCAGTCAACGGCTATTTATTGAGCACCTACTATGAGTCCGTCATCGTTCTGGTCACTGAGAATGAGCAGGACAAAGTCCTTGCTTTCATGTGATTTATGGAAGGAGAGACAGGAAAAAAACATATAACCAAATAAATGTATAATATGAAAGAAGAATAAAGGCACTTGGGGATGGGGATGGGATGTAGAACTTCTCCATATCTGTGAGGAAGCTGTCACAATTTACTTTCTTTCTCTCAGAAGCAAGGCCTGTGTCTTCCTCTTGGCTGAGCAAGGAATCTAGATAAGGTAAGAAAGACAAACGTGATTAAACCTACCCAAGAGTATACTATTAACTTTCTGTGATGAAATAAGGTCTATGGAGGACTGTTGCACTAGGCCTTGGCTTACTCTGACTTTTTCTGACTGAAAGGATAGGTCATAATTACTCAGACTGTAAACTAT